AGATTGCCGTGCGACATGAATTCGGTGATGATGTAAAAGGGTGGCTCACGCGTGCAAACGCCTAGAGAAATATAATAAAAAAAGAAAGATAAGTAACTATAAATGCAAGGCAGATATGGATCTGATTTAAATGCCCATTTTAACATTTTCAAATATGCTGCAACTTCCTGCAACGCAACAATCTTAGTAGCACCAATTTCTTTACTCACCAATTAGTTGCACCAAATTTGGATGCTTCATCTCTTTCATAATAGCCGCCTCTTCGAGGAAGTCCTTGAGTGCCATTGTATCCTCCTTGAGCGTTTTCACAGCCACAGTATTGCCGTAACGCTTCCAAACAGCCTCGTACACTTCACCGTACTGGCCGCCGCCCAACTTATGCTTCATCACAATGTCCGTACGGCAGATTTCCCACTCGTCCGGTTCGGGACTGAGTGGGAAAACGGTCGGTTTATTTTGTTTGGGCGCCGGGTAAAGCAATGGCGTAATCAACCCGTGCCCTTCATGTTGTACACTATGATGATGCACAAGTTCGGCGAGTGTATTAAATTTAGCTTCCGCTGTGACAAAAACTTTACCATCCGGATCCTCTGAGATGCGATAGTGATATACACGCCCTTCGTATCTGCACATAGAAAAACCAAAATAGAGAGCGATATAATTAAATTTCCTTATTTACTTTATTATAGCGTTCAAATATGTACATATACATATATGTATGTATTAACATTCGCCCAAACGTGCATACCTCAAACTGATGCTCCTTTGGCCTGGCGAACTTTCACTTTCGCGCACCAAGAAACTACCGTTGATGCCTGAGCTGAGCAAATATTCGGCTGCATTGCGCGATATGGGTCCATGATACCAAGAGTGTTTCTCCAGCGAGTTAAGTGGCGTCACATAGTTCGATGGTACCCAACCGACATTGCCGGAATCTGAGTGTGCCTCACACCATTCGCCCGATTTGTTGTACGATAAAATACGCACCTGTTCTCCCTTCTTCAGACTTAGTTGATTCTCACCACCAGCTTGAAAGTCATATAATGCTACAAATAATTGTGGATCGTCCTCTTCGGGGCCGGGTGCTAGCAGATTTTCTTTGGATGTCCAACGATGTGCTGACTCAAAGCCAGATGTGGCTGAGCTGTGGCCTTGACTGTGGCTTTGTGTGTGCATCGAAGCGCCATCCTGGCCGGGCAAGTCTGCGTCAGTCAGCAACGTTGTGCCGGCAGGAATGTGTGGCAGCGGGCGAGATTGTCGCAGCGCTTCTGTAAATAGGAAAAAAAATGGAAGGGAGAAAATGTTGTAAATAACTGTATTTTAGTTAGCTAGTGTAAGTTACTTGATAATGGGTTAGTAATTTGGGTGATGCAATGCGATTAAAGTACAAATGTTAACCTTTATTTCAAATATTTGTATAGAAAATTTAAGGATGATCAGTTGATGGAATTTGAGTAGAAATCGAAGTATGAAAGAATCAACGAAAATGTTTTTGGCTGCTTGAAGAACCGGCATCTACTTGTAGGCAAATTAATCAATTACCGAAAGTGAAGTCTGTTTTGGGTTTGTCTGAAACGCCGCGTCATTACCATCACTCAGTAGTACATACATATATGTATGTTAGGGCGGGCCAATTATTTACACTATGCGCGTTTAACATAAGAGGATTCTAGGCGTAATTCTAAGCAACTTTGTCGAAGAAACAATGGGTCTCAAATCAGTTTTGAGCTTGCCAAGTTGCAAAAATTGGTTTCGAAAAAAATTTTGAAATTTTCATTGTTGAGCCCTCTGGTGGAAGTTCTAAGAAAAAGATAAGTGCAGAAATGAATACTTCATATCAAAAACCGCTTATAGCATTTTTTTTTTACAAAATTTAAGCACTTTACGACGCTACAGCAAAATGCTAAGAAACCTAATTTCGCAATTTGGCAAACTGCAAAATGATTTTATACACATGGTTTCTTCGGCGAATGTGCTTAGAATTGCACGTAGAATCCTTCGCGCATCGTCGAAAAAATCACCCATACAAATTGACCAGCCCTAATGTATGTTTGTACTATATGAAATTTCGCCCATCGAGTGTTTCTTATGCATAAGAAGTTGAAAGTACCTATTTCATCACATTATTTAATCAATTTCAATGATGTTGCAATCAACACTCATATTTATTGTATATCGTTCCACATCATCCAACGATATGCTCCATTTGCCCAACATTAAAACTAAATACATATATCAGAGCAATACTTTTAATTTAAAAGGGGATGGGCGGACAGATGTTGCATACCCATTTGAAGGTACATATACAAATCTCTCGGCCGACTCATATGAATGTAAATTAGTGCCTGCTCAAAGATACCCAATAGGAACTTCGACCATTCATACTACATACACATTTATATAAAGAGAACTGAACAGATATATCTACATATCGTCACCTGAAATGCAAAAAGTGGTAACAAACATCGTCGCTAAAATGCAAAAAGTCGTAGGTAATAAAGATTTTAAATTCCAATTTTATTGTTATCGTTATTTATATGTAGTTACAAAGCAAAATAGCAGGTTTCCAGAGTTTTACACAACTACCAGATTTGATATCACTATCGCAAGTGATTTTTTTATTGATGCCTATCTATAGGTACTTGATGATTTATAGATATTTTTAGTAATTTATCCGTATTTTTTTAGTGATTTATCGGTAGCTTTGTCGTTATTTGTCGATAGTTGTATCGTTATTTGTCGACAGTTGTATAGTTAAGAATTTCTATCGATTATTATGATTGCAGAAAATATTAGAAATATTAAATATTATCTTATATATTATAGCTTAAGTTACTGCTGCTATTTTCTATCGAAAATCGTATTTTTTTTTAAGAAACAAAATCGTCTTCTAAGACTTATTTTTTTGACATAAATGACCTTTTTCCAAAAATGCCGCTAGAAAATTTGGTAGGAGGAAATAAAACAATACTTTATTTTGGAACAAATTTCTCATATCCCTCGTCAAGTTTGCTTTAAAGACCAACCGGTTTCGGCGTTGTGCCACATTCACTGGTATTTTTTGTTCTTCGGTATGGCGGAATCTTATTCCAAAACCAACACCAACAAATAGAACAATCTTTAGTTTCAATAAACAATTTCGATAACGAGCGCTTTTCTCGGGCTTAGCGAGCATCGAAAATCAGTTAGGAATGAATTAGGAATTGGTAATAAGGATTGGGATTCGTTTTGCGATTCCGTTCACTTGAATGAAGTCGTAGTTTACTTTCAAATTAATCCGTCGTAGACTATAAAATTAAAAATAATTGTAATTTGAACGCGTCGATGTTGGTAGCACCCGTGTTGAGTGTGTCTAATGTGTACTTTATTATTTGAGCACAGATACCAAATCATCATGACAAGTTACACGATTGAGCAGCAAGTTCCAAATTATAAAACTTTATTATCAGAAGGAGTGTTAGTTAGTACAAATGTTGGGTTAGTCGCGCCAATTTCACGTTTACAAGCATAATTGCCGTATGTGACACGACGCAGACCCAGGAAAGGCGGTAAAATAATACCACAAAAAGTTACTATTTAGCGGCCATCGACGTTATTGGGCCGTACTTGCTCGAAAGCGACGTTGGTAGGGCCATACCATAACAACACCAAACGCTTCAGAACAGTGATAATCGCTTGAAAAACTTTCTAATTAAAACCCATAACCGATTCCCCTATCCTTTTTTGTAATAACTTCAAGACTCACGCCATACACGGAAAACGAAGCTCAGACTAACACTTAGGGCCGTTTTCTGAAGTAACCTTTAACTTTAAAGCTCACTTTATATTTAAAGGTAGGATTAAAAATAAAGCTATGTCTAAAGTTTAATATTTCTATTGTCGATTTTTGTCGCATGTGTGTTTCTTGGTTGTAAACCAATTTAAAACCGATAATAAAATGCTTTACTTTAATCACAATCATAAATTTTAATGCAACCTTTATATATAAAGTGAGCTTTAAAATTACAGGTTATATAGTGTAGGTAGTTTGTGACCAGCAGTAATCCTAGGATTTCCAAATAAACAGCTACTTGTATGAAGTAAATAAAAAAAAGTCAACTAAGTCCGCACCAATCGTATTCCCTACAGGGTGCTAAAGCCTATGACGAAAGCAAGTTTAACTTCATGGTCGAGGCTAAACGCGATAGCCCACATTCATTCGTAGGCACATATGTATGTATGTTGGTACATATGTATGAATGTACATAAGGACATATAGACGATGCGAGAAAAGATGGCACATCAACATTTTTACCAGTTTTGACTACTTTTATTTTGATTTTTTTAAGCTTCATTATTTTTGATTTTTTTTTTTTTGCTGACGTTATCACGCATTTTCTTCCTTACAAAGTAATTTTTTATATGGAAAAGAGTTCATAACACGTCAGCAAAAAAAAAAAAACTAAAAATCAACTAAATTTTCTAGAAACTTAAAACTTGCACTTTATTATACTAGAATTTAATAAGCTCTAAAACTGCGTACCAAAAATGATTCTAGAAATAAAAATTTAAATCGTTGGAATTGGGATGAAAAGTTTTTTGAAATGTTTATAATTTTTGTACAAAGTCTTAAATTTAGATTTATATGGTATTTGTTAGCTAAAGAGCTATACTTTTATACAAAAATAATGAGCCTTAAAAAAAGTAAAGGAAAAGTAGTCAAAACTGTTAAAAATGTTGATGTGCTATCTTTTGTCGCGGGGTGTGCATATACATATGAACATGTGTATACGCACATACCCAGTCGGACTTGGTTGCTTTCAAAATGCACTTAGAGCACGGTTGTTTTTCCTTTCAGAAGTATGTAGTTCCAAGAACATGAAGCCTTTAAATCGCTTTTATACAGGTGTGAAACACAGAAAGAACGGTTCTTTAAGGAGGCAATTTCGCATAAGGAGGTTGTTGTTGGTTTGGAGAGCTTTGTAGAGTTTTTTATACTCGTTCGGACTTATTTACCGAGGTCAAAGCATTACAAAATGGTCATTTTAGCTGTGAAGTTTTCATGAGCTACTGATTTTTAGCCTTCCACTATGGTGAAAAAAGGATGTGATTACTTTTCCAAGCAGATATTTGCTAAATTTTCATACAGAAATTAATGTACATACTTCAAATAACTCATGAAGAAATGAGTACCTAAAAAGGCATTCTTTTCGGAACCACATGCTGCACAGTCCGACTGGGTAGTAGTAAACAGGAGCGAAGCAATTCAAGCGCCAATTGATAACCATGCAGTTGTTACTATTTCCATTGGCTAGACATTACCTCGCATGCCAAATTACATTGGTTTGTGTGAATGATGATCTTTGGTTGATTTGCAAATGCACCGGCCACACATTTCTCTTTGATAGTTCTAACTGACTTTTACTGGCGGTAACACCGATGCTTATTTTTGCTACTTTGATCACCAACCATGAAATGTTTATGTTATGTTAGCCTTGCGTCTCTTTCACTGTCAGCAAAAAATGTGGTTTTGCCTTTTTGGTGTTTTTGATTGAAAATTGCACGCGGGTTTCTTTTATGCGTATCTTGAGTAGGTTCAAGTAAGCAATGCGATTTCACAGGGGTAAAAGCAGTTTCTGTATGTACAGATGCCTATTTTGTGACGCCTAATCGACAAATTGATGCCGGTATACAGTAAGCAGTCTCTAGTCACTAACGGAGATTTTTCGTGGTTCACTGGTCTGATCGACAGCCTTGTGGAACCAGTATATTCATGTAAAACTAAGTAAATTTTCGGAATGAGAACTTGATCTACGGATGCCTTCATTCATATCAAACATTTTTCGTAAAGTGGGGCGGCCATTATGACTCTGATATTCATAATAACAAAGTCAAAGAGTTAGTATCACTTCGAAATAGGCTTAATTTGGGTCTCTAGTTTTCGCAGCATTCCTGGCAACGGGACTGATGCTAGTTAGTTTGGCCAGGAAGTGTGCCACATTGACCTCAAGTGAGAATCGTATCTCACACGCAATTAGAACTATACTTAATACTAAGAAACATTTTGAAACATGGTATTTGAAAACGGGTGAATATTTTTCACTTTTCAAGCAGTCGCTAAAATGTGAATGTAATCGCTCCACAGGTTATGCGTATCGAGAAGCCAAACTGATGTGGCACGAATACAACTTAAAAAGAACGCATGACCTCTTCTTAAAACCTGGAACGGCAGTTGCGCGACGTCGTTTTTTTATCAAATCTTATACGATGATACGCCCACTTAAAAATG